AAGAATTGTAACTGGTAAATTATAATTTTGAATTCTTGATGATAGGTTTTCCCTTAGTGTCACCCATACATATATATTTATATATCGTTTACTATATAATGATAATGATAAATAAGGTTTATTATAAATTAATATATTTATATATGTTGTGTCTCAGAATAATGTGAGCCTCAGTTAACAGTTGACATACCTCATATATCGATCATCAGATAAGGTGCCTCAAATAATTTATCGATATCTGAGTTGCGTCAACTGTTATATGATTAGTGATTTAAACTGAGAAAATTTTCCTTAATTGGTTAACCAAACTAAATAATTTTCATTCAACCGGTTGCCAACCAGTTAAGATTAATACTCTACTACCTTCAGAAATTCTCAGAGCTTTACTTTAATTTTTGTTTGTTCATTTATTTTTTAGAACTTTTCAGAACATTTACCCTCTCTTTATTACATCATTTTGTTATTTTTAGATCCCACTAGCTAGTTGTACTGGGTCAACTGATTAAGAATTTTCTCAACCGGTTATCCAAAATTTATTCAGTTCAGGTCGGTTAACCGATTATAGCTTAACTGATTCAAGTTACTACATATGATGCAATTGTATAATATGTAAATTTTTTTAAAAAAAATAAAAAGTGAAAAGCTTTATTTATAAATTATAAAGTATATATGACACTAAGCTTTGTTTTTATATGATCATCCACTATAGCATCAACTACTATATTTACTACCAATTTTTTTTACAATGACATCTTTTAGAATCATATTCACTTTTATAATAACAAATTGTAGAGGATGGATCTATACTTTAAAGTCATGCTGCTTCCCTAATTGATATCTTGTTAGATGATATACTATTAAGTTCAGGAAAGTTAGCAATACCCAAAGACTCAAGTTTACTAGCACAATGGTAAACATTAATGATGCCAAATTTAGAACTCAACTAATAATGCTCATTTTTAATTTTAGCTAGTACTTTGCATAGTAGAGTTGGTCGATCAATGCTAAATCAATCAATTTTGGGAATTGCAACTTTTACTAAATCTCCAATTGCATATTTTATTGCTCGCTTTTTATCCTTGACATCTGATTTACCATTTTTTCAACATATTTTTCTAGATTTTGGCGAGCAGACTGACATAAAATTTCATGTCTGGTAATATCAACAAGTAGTGTAGTAACAGAATTAGGATCAATAGGCAGGGTAGTGGTAGTATTAGGATCAATAAGTGAGGTAGTAATAGCATTCGAGGATTGGCTTGATGGAATATTATTTAAAAAATCTTCATCATCTATATATTAATAAATTTATATTATTAAATATAAAATTGTATATATTAAAATTGTATTTAAATTACATGCCTTCAAAATCATTATTCAAGTTTACATTGTTCGCAATATCTTGTATCTCGATTGTATCTGAAATATTTTCTTCATCAAGAATGTTTTTTGAAAATAATTTGCTAATCAAGATACAATTATTATGAGGTTTACTACTATATACTAGTTCATATGGTGTTTTTTTGTATACATGACAAAAACTATTGTTCATAGAAGAAACAACAAAGCGAAGCCCAAAAGACCAATCAGTACATCTAGTTTGTTCTTTCTATTTTTCAAGCTTTTATTGAAGAATTCTATTGGTCTGTTTAACTAGACCCTGTGATTGCAGGTATTTTGGCCTGCTATTTATAATTTTAACTGTTGGCTACATTTGTATAAGCTCCTTAATGACTAAAGCATAAAACTTCTTCCCATTATTACTTTGTAAAATAGTAGAGGTGAACCCAATATATGAAATAAATCAAACAAGTATGCCGCAACTTCAATGACTCTTTTGAATGTAAGTAGTTTAGCTCAAGAAAAACAGCTAAAATAATCTCTGATATGGCAGATGTACTTATAATCTCTATTCGCATCAAATGATAGATCAATTAAATCAATCTTATAAAAAAATAATAAATATTAAAAAAAAATAAATAAAATAAATATCAAAACAATAATATAAAATTAATTTAACTTGTAAATGGGACAGAAAATTTTTAGCAATAATTAGCTTTTCTGCTAATGGGTGAAAAGATGGTTTTCTTGTAGCACATACTATACAATTATTAACAAATTGTTCAAAAATATCTTGTTTAATCCATCACCATTTTTTTTTAATTGATTTTTATAACTGTTTCTGTTTGCCATGTTGGTCAATTTTAGCATGAGTTTGATAAAGGACTTTATATATATTTTTAATAGCAAAAACTAGATTATTATCCTTCTTCGTTATAACTCTATAATCATTAGGGTTATTTTTTCTAGACAAAATCTTCTTTTCACCCAATCTCATATATTTCAGTCACTAATATTTATGTTGGTAGAATTTTGCAGAATTAATCAGATCTTATTAAGAAGATTCATGTTTGCTAATGCCTTATCCTATTTTTTTCAAATAAGCTCATTATATATCGATCAATAATATTATCAAATTTTCTTTGCTAATAAAGGTGTACTCTATAATACTATGTATAATATATGAAAAAAACTATATATAATTTTATTTCAAATAGAATAATATCACTTGAAATTTTTTGAAGAAATTTAATAAAGTTTAAAGGTTATAAGACAGAAGTGCAATAATTAAAATATAAAATAGGTGATTTAATATCTAGATAAGAAGCTAAATATATAGATAACAAATGTGTCTAAGCGGTGAACATATAGGTAACAAATATATAGGCAAGAGATTACAAACAATAACTGTTTAAACAACAAATATATAGAAACAAATATATAGACAATGAATATATGGGGCAACGAACATATTTGTAACGAACATATAGGCAACGAATATATTGTAATAAGCAATAAGAGAAAGTATAAGAAAAAAAATTAATAACCAATATATAGGCAACAAAGCTACAAAGTATATTATGAAAATCATTATAAACTCAAATTATTATTTACAAAATCTAAAAGTTAATATCATTATCGTTATTTAAAAATTTATTACAGCAACGATTAAAGTTAAATTACTTGTATGTGTCAGATAACAGTTTATGTATCTCAGATATCGATTAATCATTTGAGGCACCTCACTTGATAATCGGCATCTGAGATGCATCGACTATTAACTGAGGCTTACATTATTCTAAGCACAATATATATATATAGTTACTATATAATGATAATGATAAATAATTTTTATTATAAATCAATAAATTTAAAAAGTTTCATCTTAAATGTATAATTAATTTAGATATACCTTATGTTCGTATTTGCAATATTAATTAAAAAACAATAATATTATATTATTATATATCGATATAACAATTCACAAAATTGCAGGTGTGGTGATATAGAGTAGTAGTTAAGTTGTTACTCAAGTAGCAGGTCTAGAGTTCGATTCCTACTGGATATGTTTTTCGAAAAATAGGCCTATATACTAGTAACATTTATTCAACAATCGGTTAGGTATATCACCTGTAACCTTGGTACTACTATCTTGAAATAGAAGCTTTAGGTGATCCAAATCCAAGAAACTAGAATATTTAAAACCTGTTTGGCAAAACCTGAGCTAGGAGTAGTGAAGATCTTTAATGATGCTACAGAAAACTAGAACTGAAAACTAAAGAACTGGACAAACAACTCTGAGGCAAGAAGGGTCTACCAACCTGGCCACCGAAGTTATATCAGAGAAAAAAGTCTGATGCTACAGAATTCAAAACCAAGAGAAGTAAAACCAGAAGGCCCTTGAGCTTAGGTACAACAACCCTTCCAGGCTAACTGGTTTGGTA